GTATTGATGAAGCCAAAATACACATTGTAGAAACGTTTTGAAAGTTTAAATCCGGTTTTACATAAGAAATACAGGAAAGAAAACAGGATATCTTTATAACATGTTTCCTCTTTTGGAATTTCGATATCACACCTTTTCCTAGTCGTTCTATATACCCATATTTCATCCACAAAAAAACACTCTATTATTTCTGTACTTCTACAGAATGTAGAATACATGCCAAGTTGGAGATAGCTAGAGGCTTGAGAATTAACAGGAAATAACCTAATAGACATGAGTCGAGGGCCCGTCCAAGGGCCCCGAAACATTTTGGGCTTAGACGCTCTCTGGGTACTCTGAATATCTCTAGTGCTGAAATTAAACCTTAAAAATGAGTAGCTAACAGGAACGATAGAATTTTCGATGATCTGGGCCTGATAAAATATAGAATTGCGAAGGTTTATATTATTCGATAAAAAGTTTGGGTTTTATCAAACAAAGCTTGAGATTAGTGGAAAAGCGTAAAATTTTATAGGAGTGCCTTGAGCTTGAGGTTTGTTCGAAAAACGTGAGGTTCACGCCGGATGCGCGAGACTTGGTATGATATAGGCCTATATATTGACTATATTTTTGATTTATTTTCTTTGGATAAAAGATAAAATCAGCTGACCATTTTTAAGAGGGGTAAAACCTTGAATTTTGAAGAAATTAAAGACACCTCAGAAGTTGGGAAAGCTTATATTTCCGGCCATCTAGGAATCGAAATTTTCCCGGAGAAGGACCCCGGACCCCCTTTCATTTTTTGGGTTTATGGGAAAATGAACCCCCCTATTTCAAATCCTGGATCCGCCCTGGCCTTATACACTGATCATTTATTGTCATTACACCTAAACAACATAATACATATTTACAGCGATATAGACCAGTATATAAAGTCACATTTGATGATGTTGCAGGCGTTTATCATCCGAATATCTGAATTATTAGTAGGCCTTTAATGTATACATTATTTTAATCGATTTCAACATGATGTGTATAATATTTAATAATAGGCCTACTATGATGGATAACCATGTATTTTATTCTTTATTTACTGACATGTTTAAAGTCGGAGGCGAACTTTAAGGTGGGTAGTTATGCAGCCGTTCGGGGCTCATACATTTTTTTTTTAAATTAAAAGAAAATATTTTGTCAAAAGCGGTTGTATTATTAGATTGCTCGGTAGCTGTAAGTAGGGGCCCATTGCCTTTCAGGGACTCATTTGGACATGGAAGAAGTAAGCGTTTCCCTAGAAAACACAGGCATTACATAACTGGTCAAACCTCCATAGTGGGGCATCCAGGGGCATAGTTTAAAGAACCCCTTCTAATAAATCTGCCAAATAGTGTGTTTGTGGGATTTTGGTCTATTTGGTTTTTTTCGGAAATTATACAAAATGTTACGTATTGTTAAGGCGTTGTAGGAGAGTGCTGAGTAATGTTTTAGGTAGTAGTAGGAGCGCCAGCCACCCCCACCCGCCATCCGAGAGCTCACGAGTTACGCAAATGGGTCTGTTTACTTAATATGATATGCCATAATTGGACTTTATTGGACAATACATGAAACACTACACCCTGTCTCTTATACACATCTAGATGTGTATAAGAGACAGCAATACCCCTGCCTGCAACCCATTCTCCAGTTCAAAAAGTGTCAATAGCGCATTTGATCTAAGCCGCAAGGTATTCTCCGCAGTGGCGTAATAACCAGGGGACAAGGGGAAAATATCCAGCTGTGGAAAGTCTTTCCCCATTGAATGCCCTTTTCACCCGGGAAAGTGCCTGAAAATCTCAATGACTTTTGGAACTGTCTCTTATACACATCTAGATGTGTATAAGAGACAGAGATTATTTAGTTCCAATTATATGCACATTTTAGATAAATTTGGCGGCCATTTTGGAAAATGGCCGCCATTTGTATACCAGGTGAAAAAACAAGTGTCAACAGGGCTTAGGGTGACCATCAGGGATTAATTAGGATATCTGGCTATGTTGACTGCTTCTAACATTCCACTCCCCCTTACTTGATTTCTAGGCCTCTTTTTTGATTTTTGTCCTAGTCTAGAGGAGAAAATAAAAATAAAATTTTATTCTTGAATGCAAAATAGGATGGTTAAATGCTTCAAATATATAAATAATTTTAAGGCAGCGGAAGGTGTAATAAAAATAAAGAACTTTTATTTTTTCTGAAATTTGCACATTTTCGTGACAACGGTTGCACTAATTGGCCAAAAATAATCATCAATGTTTGCACTCGGCGGGTTCGCTAAACCAAGGTAATTCAACAAAAGGACGCACATCTCTGCTCTCGAACATAGCGCGTGTGTACAGTCCTTTGATCTTTACTGTGGCATCGACAATCCGATACTAGTTGC